TGGATATTTGCTATTTTCACCTGTGGGTGGTTGTCTAAGTCAGTGTTCTACGGGGGCATGAAACCTGAGAGCTCCTGCTCACCACCATTTAGGTCACTCATACGGAAAATTTGGGATTAGTATCTGCTTTTCTGGTTTCAAATTAAACCACTGCAATGATGGGTCTCAAACTCTAGTGCACACCAAACCACTTAGAGCACTTGGAAAAACACATCTTATAGGGCCCTCCTCCAGAAGTTCTGTCTCCTTGGTGAGGGAGAGGGACAGTGCCCCAAACAGTGTACTATCAACAAGTTCTTAGACAGGGCTGCAGCTCTTGCTGCCAGGCACACACTTTGAGATCCACTGCCCACAGATTCCAGGGCTGCCAAGTAGGATGGACCGCTACCTTGCACAGATCTCCACTGCGGGATGCTCCACTGTGGCCCTCTGAGCAACTTCGTCTGGGAGAGGTACCACCTGCTTCAGTTGCATCAGTGGGTGGGAGCTTTTGTCCTGATAGCCTATCAGTGCCCCCAACACTGGGTTGGCTGCCTGGCCATGTGGGCTGCCTGCCTGCATGTGTGCTCTGTAGCCATGACAAGCATGGCTCATGCTGGCTAGGGCTCTTCTCTGTCCCTCAGGCTACTGCCGACAGGAGGCATGAGTGGGTCTGCTTCTGCCATGTGGAAGGGCCTGTGAGATGACTGACCAGCAATGTCGCTTCCTCTTTTACACTTTGTCACAAACCCACGTGTAAAGCGAGCAGAGAGGCAAGGGACCAGAGACCTGGTGGGGGTGAGGGTCCTTGCATGGGCTCCAGCCTTTCCACTGTAGGGCACATGGGGAGTCCCTGTGAGTAGTTCCTGTCTGCAGGCCAGTCCTGCAATGGCTCAGAGCTAGATCTTTGGCAGCAGCTTCTTCAAGATAAAAATAGCCCCACTGAGGTCTCATTGCAGCTTCTATCTTACAAAGATAAAGATAGCACATGGGCCCGGGGCTCGTGTCTGCGCACACGGGGCCACCCAGGGACCTGGCTGGAAAACAAGCATACCTGGGACAGAAGAGCTGAGGTTTTGCTCTGTGGCTGCAGCAACTCCTTGACCTTATTGTGGACTCTTTTCCTTTCCGTGGGCTCTGGGGTCACTCACTGGGGGCTCTGCATCTAAGACTATGTCTTTGCTGTCTGCTGTGTGTCCTCACCAGGGACTCTGTGGGTCTTCACCCTCTCCTCTCATCTTCACCTGGACTCTGTGTCCTCCTTTCAGGTGGAGGTTTTCTGGGCTGTGTGATGGTGACAACTCCCCACATCTCGTTTCCCTCACACATGTGTTGAACATGCTGCCTTTTCTGGAACACTTGCCCTGTGTTTCAGACCCTTTGGAACAGGCCCACTATTCTCTCTTGTGTCTCCTCCGTGAGTCACTTCCCAGTCAGCTCCACCCTTATCCACCTGTCTAGATCCCTGAAGGGACCAGCCAGGCTGAGATGTAATCATGAGAGTCCTTGACAGCCCATGGCCCTTGGGCTTGTTGTTTCTGGTCACTGCCCTCAAGGGGCATCTGTCTGCAGTTGGTAGAAATCAATGAAATGTGTTTCCTTTGGGAGGGAACTTCTTGGGCATCTGCTGTGTACCAGATGTTTCCTCCAGTGACCAGGTGGGTGGAATGGCATCATGCTTGTTTTTTTGGTTACAGTAACTCCCAGTGAGGTGAGCTGCTTGCTCTGGTCTGCGATTGCTGGCTTGTGCTGCTCAGCTTTCACTGGTGGTTTTCACTGCTCAGCTTTTCACTGCGATTGCTGCCAGCTTAGCTCTGAACTGGACATGGGGTTTCGGAAAAGTGGCTCCCCTCCTCTTCCGTCTCTGTCCTCTGTGAAAGCCCAACTGCTCTGACAGGAGTGCATGTCTCCCTCCCTTTCAACATGGGAACCCTGCTGCTATCCCCATGTGGCCCCTGTGGGATCACAGACCTGCCAGTCTGCTCTTTCCTTTCCCAGGTCTCCTTCAATCTTGTGCTTCTTGATGGGTGGGGATGTGGCCAGCCATGTCTGGATGAACCCAAATGAAGGTGACTGGTCCTGTGGGCAGGGTTCTGTGCTGCCCTTTTCCTTAGTTTTGTGACAGAAGGCATGGAATTCTAGTGCTGCTATGGGGTCTTCCTTCCCACCACTGCACTCTGGGAAACCCTCTGCAATGCCTTCTTGTCCACAGACCCTGCACCTTGTATAGCTTTCATGCCTGGTAAGCCAGAACTGGAGGGCATATTAGCTTCCTAGGGCTGCTGTAACAAATGACCACAAGTCAGGGGCATTTGAACAACAAAAATTTGCTGTAAGTTCTGGAGGCCAGAAATGTGAGGTTAGGGTGCAGCTTCCTTCTGAGGCTGTGAGGGGGGCTATTCCTGGTGTCCTGGTAGTATCTGGTCACCACAGCAGTTCTGGACATTCCTGGGCTAGTGGCTGTAGCGCTCCCATCCTGCTTCTGTCGTCACATGACCTTTTCCTTGGGTCTCTGTCTCAGATTTCCCTTGGCCTGTCTCTTATAAGGATACTTGTTATTGAATTGAAGGGCCAGTATAAATCCAGGATGAGACCATCTTGAGATTCTTGATTACATCTACAAAGAACCCATTACCAAACACGGTCCCCTTCATAGGTTCTGGAATTAAGATCACCTGTCTTTAGGGGACACAGTTCAACCCAGCCCATGCAGGGAAGAAGGTATGATTCCCTGGTGGTCAGAGTCATGTCAGGGAAAGCAGTAGAGGAGGTCTGCTGTGACTGGACGGAGCCTCACTCTGTAGCGAGGAATCTTGTCCCATCACTTTCTGGTCTGGCAAGGTTTAGAAATGTGCTCAGAGTGGGGGCTTGGCTTCTAGCATAAGGTTCCTATGCAAAGAACAAAACAATGGGCCAGAGTTCTGGAAATAGCCGCTGGCTGGTGCTGCCACCTGTCTTGCTGTGGGTGTGGCCCGCACATGGTGTTGTGGGGTGGTTCTCCAGTCTGACCATCTTCTGACTGCTGCTTTTCTTTATCCCCAAGTTCTGTGTGCCGTCCCAGTGGGCCTAAGTGGTCTAAATGAACTCTAAGAGATCCGGTTGTGTGGGGGCGTCTGGGTCCTTGACCTTTGATGATATTACTAGTGACATGAGTCTGAGCAAGCCAGGTTTCCCACTCAAATTCCTTTACAGTTAGAATTCCTTACAAACCAAAAGCCAGACCCCTTGGGGACATCCCGGTCCTCTCTAGGAGCCAGAACAGGGCTCCTTGCTGTGGTGAATCTGGCTTTGCTCAGTGTCTAGATGGGGTGATAGTCGCAGTGCCGTTAGTGAGTGTGGTAAGAAGTAGCAGAATAGTGATAGTGCCTAGGACCTGAGCTGCAACATGCATCAACCCCCCACATTAACACGTGAACCCCACCAGCCTCTGCCTCAGTCGTGGGCCCAGTTTCCTACTGTGGATATTTTTCTGGGTAGAGATTATATAACTTTCACAAATTCTCAAGGAAGAATTCTCACTTGATTAAAAAAATGAAGAATATTTGATTTTATATTTGAAAAAACTGAAGTCCATACAGGCCTTCAGCTTTGGCATAGGAGGGTCATTTGAAGCATTTGGGCAAGTAGATTGGTTGTTTTTCCCAACTTACTTAGAGAGAGAGAGAGAGAGATAGAGAGAGAGAGAGAGTGAGTGTGTGAGATTTCACTTTGTCCTAACTTTGAAGTGAGCCAATCTCACCCCCCAGCCATAGTACCTGCACCCCAGGCACAGACATCAAGGCCCCTGCCTCTTGGCACAGAACTGACCTCTCCTGGTGTTACTTTGTTGATGGGAAGAGGCTAGGGCCCATTCTCAGAGCTTTGTTCTTCCTTATCTGTAAATATAAATTTTTTATGATCAACTTTATTGAAATATGATTTATACACAGTAAAATCCCTCAGCTTTGCAATGAGCCTGTTGCTCTGTCTTGTCCAAAAGCAGATGTTCGATTGTTTCTAGACTCACAGGAATTCCTCCCTTGAGAGGCTCCCCCAGTGCCCCGCTGGGAGCCCCGATGCCCCTCCAAGTGTAGGAGCTTGATGAATTCTCTAGGGAACCATTGCCTGAGCTGCTCAGGGCCCTGGCGTCCCGGCGTGTCTTTGCTGTAGAGGTGTGTTCCTGTGTCTTTTGACCCTGGTGTCTGTTGTGAAGGGTAGGTGAGAGGAGACGTGTCTGTGTTCTCTAGGTGTCCTTCCTTCCTGGTCTCGGTAGCTCTGAGTTCTTCCCTTTCCAGGCCTGGGCAGCGGGGTGGGGTGTGGGTTCGCCCTGAATCCCATGAAGAAGACCTCTGCCTTTTTCCTGTCTCCTCTCCTGTCATGTTCACATCCCCCAGGAACCCCACCCACTTTGCTTGCTGGCTTCGACTTCCCAGCCAGGACCCTCTTATACTCTATCTCAGACCCTGAGGGCTGTCATGGACCTTCCATCTGCACTTCCTGCTAGGGGCGATGTGACAGGTGCATCATTTTCAATGATGGTTGGCTTCTAGATCTTAGGAACTTCCTTTTATGTAGCAGAAATGTCTCTCCCTAATTTGCCCTCCAGAATACTAGAGTGTGTGTGTGTATCCTACATTTTCATTGCAGTATAACACACACACACACATACACACACAGACACACTGAGAGTGCAGGTGTGATGAATTAACAGCAGTTGCTTCTCTGCCACCATCACCCATATGGGGCACTAAAACCTACCCTGATTCTCTGTCTTTATACCTAACTCCACAGTTGCTTCCAAGAGGTGGGTTTGGGGGTGGGACTTTGCATTCTGTTGTTTTTGGCTGCCCCTCAGTACCTCCAGACTGTGGAAAGATGGATTCCTTTCCCACAGGCAGCTGCTGGGGCTCTCACCCTGCCAGCTCCTGCTTTCCAGATCCCAGGGACCCCTGCTCAGTGGGAGTGGAGTGGCAGGGCTAGGCATGGTCCTTTGGGTCCCAAGGGAGAAGACCCACTGACAAGCTTTCTGTCTTGTCTTAAAGGTTCAACTGTCACAGGCCTTGGAGGAGTTGGGAGGACAGAAGCAAAGAGCGGACATGGTAAGTTCCTGTGGCTTTGTGGCCTTTACAGATGAAGGGAAGCCAGCATTTGGGATGCCTTAGCTCTGGGCAGCTGGCAGAAGTTCTAGTCTCCACCAGGACAAGTTCTTACCCTGTAGCTGGGAACATGCAGGTCCCTTGATTGTCATGGTCCTTCCAGTCAGAAATGCAGTTGGAAATAGAAAGGGACCTACTAAGCCCACAGAGGACACCAGTGAGTGTGGTTTTCCAGGGAGCAAGGTCCTGGCTGAGTCCAGAGAGGGAGGTATTTCATATGGTGGTGTTAGGGCCTGTAAGTTCCAGGCTGCTTTGCTAGAGGTTGGCACCCAGAGAAGTGGCCTTTGCTCATAGTGATTCTCATAGTGATAAGCATATAGTGATGTATACCTTGCTTTTATGCTTCTGGAATGTTCCAGTAAAGACAGGAACAGTGGTGGTATTGGAAGGATCTGATGGTTGCTGGAGGGGGCACTTCTGGACAGAGACGGGGGCTGGAGAGTGAGACTACACAGGCAGGCTGGGGGCTGGAGAGAGAATAGGGTTTGTTCTATAGCCTGGAGAGAACCTTTAAAGATAAACTGAGGCACATGAACAGTTTAGAGAGTCATTTGAGCAAAAATCCCTTCAAATCAGGCAACATCCAATCTAGCAGATAGGAAAGAGCTGTGAGGATTTGCACAGAATGAAAGACTATTTTTATAGGCAGAAGGGAGTGGGAACAAGAAAGTTATACTAGACAAAAAGGCAGATCAGTTCTTACAAGTTTCTTCCTTAGGGGACCCTGGGGTTATCTGTTGCTGATCAGGTGGTTCCTCATTGAACGCTTTAAGGTTACATTTCTGGGAGAACTTCAAGTAAATAAGTTAGAGTCTCTGTTTGGCGACACAAAACTTAGCGTGAATGACTCCTATTTTGACCTTGTTTTTTAATAGTAGGAAGTGGATCTTTTGGGGGCTGGTGGTTATCTGGTGCTGTCCAAGTGCCCAACTGAGGTTCATGGTTGTGAACTGAAGGCACAGCTAGTCAGTAATTTGTGTCTGCAGTGCCCAGATGCCTGCTGTGGGTACAGAACAGGTGGTTAATTGGGCAAGAGAAGGGCCTGTAAGTTCCAGGCTACTTTGCCAGAGGCAAGGGGGAGCAGGCCAGGGGTGAGTGCAGTACGAACTGTTTTCATGTTTGTGCCTGGTATACTAGCCATATAATGTGGGGCAACCAGTGGGTGTCTCTCCCAAGGGGCTAAGTTCCCTGGATTATTGATTACTGCCCAGTGGGATCATCTTTATGTTGTTTACCGGGCACCTGAGACTCAGTAGAGCCTTCTGCCCTTGCCCAGAGAGTTTGGAGTACTCCAGGGAGAGACTCAAATGTAGTATGCCTATGCCCAGGAGCCCATGCACCTGGAAGAGCTCTGTCAGCTTTGAAGTCTGGCACTCACATATGCCATGGCAGTGAGGAGCCATCACTTTAGTCTGCAACCGTCTGGAGCAGCAGTCAAGCTTACCTGCTATTTCCAGACCCACAGAGTGTCAATGCTTCCTGACACAGAGTGTCTTGCTTCTGAGCTGTCCAGACTCTTTAAAACAAGGGGCATACTGCTTGTTGACTTTGGAGGAGCCAAAGTGGGCTGGGGTTTTCTTAGAAAACTGGTGCATTCATCTGAAGACACCCTGGGAGTACCCCGATGTTCTGTGTGTCAACACGCATCACTTCCTCCGCATTGGCCTGAATTGAAACATGCCCAAGGGCCTTATTTCCATAATGTACACAGACAGGAGGAATTAGAGATGAGATTGTGCTGAGCATGCCTAACCTACAACCCTAGAGGTGAGTGGGATGCACACTGCCTGCAGCCTTCCCAAGCCGCACTCTGCACTTTGGCCCTGGGAGCCAGGAAGCAGGGGAACTAAGCCTCCACCTTGCCCCTGGGGTTGTGGAAAGAAGAGACTGCTAATCTAGGCCTTTTTGGGAGCACTGAGACCCCAGAATTCTCTGATTAAGGTTGCAGAGGCCAACCCCTGTCTTAGAGAGGAGTGTAGGAAGGTTGACCTTTGTTCTTTCTTGTTTGGCCCTTGTCATTCTGCTCCTGTGTGGAGTACCAGAAATTTCAGGATATTGATGCTGGTCCCTCCTCTACACCAGTTCAGTTAGATTCTGGGGACTAGGCCTGGTATTGTTTCATTGTTCCCCGGGCCATTCTGAGGTTGCAGGGCCATCACTCCTGAGCACATGGAGCTCTGGGTGTGGTGTACGCTATCCCTGTGGAACTGACCCCACGAAACAGGCAGGAGCAGAGGGAGTGGCTCTCGGCAGCCACCACAGCATTGATGGCCCGGTTGCACACAAACAGGGTAGGGTGCTGTGGAAGCTTCTTCAGACCTTTTTCTGGTTCCAGGTGATAGTTGTCTCACACAAGTTTTACTTTCTGCCTTTGGTTGTTTAATTATTAGCATATTTCACTTCTTTCTTCTCCTTCCCAGGTAAAGGGGAAGTGAGAAGTGGCAGTGCCCCAGGCTCTGTTAAGCGCCAGTGAATCGGTTTCCCCCCACCCAATGCTCCTTGAGTTCTGGGGGTGCTACATCCCAAGGAGACATGGCCCAGGAGGGCCCAGAGGGAAGTGGACTCCCTCCTTCTCACCTTCTCGCTGGGGTTACTGGTGAAATGTCGTTTCTGCTCTGCTGTGAACCCGCACTGGTGGAGGACTGAGGGGGAAGTGAGGGACCAGAGCTGGCAGTGCTGCTGACAGCTGCAGGTCTGGCTCTGTGGTCCTCCTACCCATATTGGTGGCTCCCTCTAGCCCTAGAAATCTAGGGGCACTGGGTGGCTTTCTCTTGCAACCTGAACTGGACCCTCTCCCTCTGCAAAGCATGGGGCAGCTGGCTCCTGAGTGTATCCCAATCCTGGTCCTGCCCAACTCCCTGTCTAGCCCGTGGGCCATCTCTCCCAGCTGCAGCTGCCTCTCCTGCTGTTTGCTGTCCCAAAGTTAGCTCACTGTTTAGGAAAGGAGAGAGAGAAATTTAAACATCTTTAGCTAATTGCAGATGACAAGACAAAGACAGTTTGACTTTATGTTATTAATTAGCAAAGCCATTCTAATTAGTAAGCATAAGTACAGTTCATTATTTTTTTCTTTAACTGCAATTACTATCACAAGGAAAGATGTCCCAGGCCATAGTTCTATTATTAACATACCTCACCCTAATTAGATATGGCCAGCAGTGACTGGAGAAAGGAGGTTTTTTTTAATTATTATTATAACTGTAAAAATCCTCTAATATTTTATGTGCTTCAGAGAGGGAGACATCTTACTTTCTGATTTAAGATGAATTGCACCCCTCATGACTCTGTAATTAAACTATGGTCTTCCTTGAGTCCCACCTTCCCTTTAGAGTTCCTGCTACTTCTGTCCTGGTCTGTGGGGATCTGTGGCACAGGGCTGTGAAACCAGCCAAGAGTGGAAGGCAGTGCTTTGTGCCGCCCAGTGACAGTGCTTCAGAGATTGACTCGCCTGCCTTTCAACTATGCAGCAGGGTCCCCTGTTCTGCCCCAGAAGGACGAGTTCTGGAGGCCAATTTCTTGGAATGTGCAGGCCCTGGCCCTCCTCTGGCCTCTCACATTTGGAGGCCCCAGCCTTGGTGTGGCTCAGTGGGCAGTGGATCCCAAGATACTGGCGAAGGCCAGTTGTGAACTCTGCAAGGGGCTACGCTAATTTCTGCCATTCCTAGTGCAGAGTTGAGGGCCAGAAACTCATCAGAGTCATGAGCTCTCCTTGTTCAGGACTGTGGTCCTCATCCATCTGCGTCCCCTGCCTGTGTTCTGTTCTTATCACAGGCTGCCAGTGTGGCCAGCTGCTTTCCAGCAAATTATTAAAGGAATGTCTAGTTCTGCAACTCTTAGTGTATTCTGACCCATCTGGCCAGCATTAGGCACTGGGCTGGAAGGCCCCAACCACTGAAGAACTTGGACCTTGGTGGGTTTGTTGGTCAGACTCCTAGAAAGAGGTAACCCTCACATTCACAGGAGTGGCTTCCTCAGAGGATGGTGGCAGTTTTAGATAGTGGTCATCATGTTCACTTATATGTCCTGCAGCCCACACAGTACAGTGTCTGACTCTGTTTCTCAGTGTAGCAGCCATCATGATCCAAGAAGGCCAACAGGGCCCAGAGTGCCAGGCAGGTTCTCAGTGCCTTGTTCCCTACCCCTGACACCAGAGGGGGCAGCCAGGCGAGGCCCCTTGAAACTATTGCAGAATGGTTGGGTTGTGGGGGCATATGTGGCCCAACAGGGTGTTGTGGGGCTTGGTTTGCACTGGATTTGGGGTCTTTGCCTCTTGAGGAGGCAGTATCTTTAGCTTTCTCTCCCATGCTTGCTGGTTTTCTCCTCTGAGGCCTATTGAGTTGGTGTGGTCCATCCTATGTGCATCTTAGACCTCTTTCGGCCCACCTCCCTGCCCTGGCCACTCTTCCATATTTATGTGCTACCCAGTAGTCTCATGGCATCTGCAGCCTGTCCGCCTGCTTCCTCAGAGGCAGCCCCGGGAGGAGACTAACCTTTATACAGAACAGTCCACGGCTTGGTTGGCTGGGCTAGATGGCTGTGATGGCTCTTCTAGATCAACACATGTATCCTGGTCACCTTGAGGTGTCCAGTCCCTGGCCCTGAACTGAAATGAATGAACAAAGCAGGAACATTACTTTCCACACAGCCCTCTGTGGGCTGGCTTGGCTGCCAAGTGCCCCAGGTGATGATGATGATGTGCTAGTTTGTTCAACACGCACAAACCCCGTTGGCTCCCAGCGGTGCTCTTCGTTAAGCCATGCGGACATCTGCCACCCTACCAGGTGTGCTTCCTGGGATTCCAGTGAATTCTAGCTCCAGCCACTTTGCTGTCACCACCACACAACTCTTCTTGAGTCTCCAGGTCGCCGGAATGTGTGGGTCTCTCCTCTCTGTCTGTTACTGTGTTAAAACTCTCCTGTGAACTTCTTTACAGATGAGGGCTC